CCTTGTATCAATATTACATCATTCATGCGTGCAACATGATTTTCATTCAATATCGTAGTTTTGAGTTTTCTTCTAATAACTTTATGTCTAAATTATTGCAAAGCCAAGAAAAAATCCAAACATTGATCTATATATTGTCATATAGACCGGATAATCAACGCAAGCTCCATAGTCATATTCTTTATAACATAGCAAGCAACAATCAAACCGAAACGTTAACAAAAACTTTAGTTTTCAGCATCAGTATATAAAGATAACACACAAGATTGAGAATCAGAGAACATTTTAAATTGCAAAAGGACTTTTAAGGCATTGGCCAAATCTCGATTCCATGAAGAACAAGGCCTCTCTTCCCATATAGCCTCTTAGTCTCCTTGAGAACCATCTTTGTTTCACCCATATCTCCTCTCCTTTTGAAGAACTGTCCCGACTTTCTTCGCCACCGGGGTTTTGCATGAGACTCACCATGGAAGGATGGACATCATCGGTCTCGGTGCCATCCATGACAAGGGAAGCCTCTATGTTGATCCTTCCAGTGATGTCAAACCACCACACCATGATGAACTCAGCTACTTGTGTGAACCTGTTTTATGCACCCATGAACATTAGCATATCTCACAATGCACAAGAAGTTTGATGTTTTCAGGTCAACGTCTCTAGAGACAAGACAAGACAAGGAAGCTAATATATACCTAGTATTAGGAAGAGAGATCCATTGCCAGTATCTTTGATCATTTCCCCAAACAATACTGAAGGCCCTTGGTGCAATCATGTAGCATTTCTTACCACTCGTTCTCTCCAACGAAAAGCTCTGTTTTTTTTATTAACTCAATGCAATCAGAATATGAGATATCAAAAACTTTCTAACATTCTTGAAGAGCTTAGACCATCAAATAATCTCTTTGCTTAGACCCAAAAGATTGATTTCACAGATTTTAGGAGTTTGGCTAGTCGGATCTGGTAGATTCACAGACACAACTCAATACAAGCGGTTACAAGTTTCATCATAGTAAGATTTCCGTTTGAGTTGTGTTATTGACTTCTGTAAATGTTTGGGTTTTATCTTTCAGTTTAGACTCCTTTGGTTTGGAGTTTTGTTTTCCTTGTTTGGATTCGTGGTCTTTTTTGATTTCGTATCCGTGGTGAAAAACTACGGATGGGCTAATCCTCT